CATGTTATCTCACATCTCCCCAACATCTGGTGAGCACAACCACCTCTGCCTTTCTGACATGGGATCTCCAGGTGGAAGTACAGCCACATACAGCCCACAGCCTTGCAGGTACGAATAGAGGCAAAGTAGCTGAGTTCAGCTGTAGTCTTCACTCAAGCCTGCTCCGCTACCTTTGTAGTGAAGATAGAGGTATTTGTGGGTAACGCAAGTACATCCTAAATCTATGTATATTGTGCAATGTGAATGAAATCAAAAAGCCTGTGAAAGAGCTACTATTAGCTGTTGTCTCAGCTACTCAATGCTTTAATAATAATAACCCATTTTAAAACTAGTGTTTTCATTTAAACGTGCAACATAAATAACATGACAGCTAATGTATGTTACTGAAAGACAAAAATGTGATTTCCTTAACTTCAAAAATCTCAAACGCTTAAAAGCCATAAATGCATGTCTAAAGGCATCAGTTCTCATGAAAAAACCCCACATTTTTGAAAGCTAAAAGGAGCACATAGTTCATCGCAACAGTAATGGTATTTGCACACAATTTTATCAAAACTTAACGCTACATGCTTTCTTTGCTGTGAAACACAAGCAAATTCTTTCTCAAGAAGCAGCAATTATTAGCACTTTCTGAAAAATCATTGTTCAGAGAATATCACATCTCTAAAGCAACTTGTTAAATCCACTGGTCAGAACTGAAGTTGTAAGTCAACAGTAATGGTCTTATGTCTGAAGGATATGTTTAAGCTTCATAAAGTCAGAGGTCCTGCACTTGATCTCCCATGTTTGTTTTCTGTAAGTGACATAATAGGGATCACATTGGCACTTTAGCAGCTATAATTGTTTGGTTTGGAATTATTAACCTACCCCAACTTGGTTCCAAGTCAAAGCTATTCTGGAATTTGTTTCAGCTTTCCTTTTTTGACCCGTAAAAGAGCAAGATATTTCCTTCTTACACCTAGCTGCCAAGATCCAAATTTGTAGTTTCTGTGTTTCCCTGGTAACAGCTGGTGATGTCATAAATTTACTAAGTGGTACAGGGAGACACTATGCTCTGTGCAGCCGTGAAAACCTGGAAGAGAACATCTAGCTGGCTCTCTGCCCAGCTGCCAACACCATTCACCTTCTCTGCCTGCCCAGCTCTGTTTCTGGATCAATTTGGAGAGTTCCTCAGAAAGCTTGAATCCTTCTTGGCAATGGAAGTGGAAGGTGTAGAAATATCTGCTCTTATTTCTAGTGCTTCAATCTTGAGTGTTTTGTGAGCTCAGTATGCTGAGAATTGTTTTCTAAGCAAGGTTTGTATCTGAAATGAAACTGAGTTTTTTGTTGGCCATCGATGTAGCTGTCAACCTGCCCAGAACTGGCAGCACGCTCTGCTTCCACACACATCACTGTTGCTAACAGAGATTAGTGAGGTTCTCTAGAGGTCAGTACCCATAGCACAGGCTGGCAACTGGTTCCTGATCAGTCTGGGTTACTCTGCCCAGCACTGTGTCATGCAGGAACATGTTGGGAAACGGTGGAACAAAGAGAGCAGGTATAATGCCCTTATTTCTTACCTGGAGAATGGCATCCAGAAAACATGCGTATTCCCAGCAGAATCTCAACACACACAAAGGTACTACTCTACTGTAAGTTTCACAACACTATTTCACAACAGAGTCATCTGCAAACATTACGGCATATGCATGAGAAGAAAAAAAGCTTTGCCCTCATCAAATACTAGGAAATAAAAGGAACAACCACAGAATTAGAAGCATAAAAATTCTGTTTCTGTGCTGTAGTTGCTTACTTCCTAGCATATACAGGCAATGGAACCGGTACTCCAGTCCTGAGATATGGCTTACAACTACTCTGAAAAGAAAGTCTGCTTATTATTGCTCTGGATTAAGAAGAAAGCTGTTGATTCTAATTCAGGGCATTTCTCCTTGAGGAAATGGCCAAGGGAAGAGAGTTAGTTCTGTTACAGAGCTATCAGCATGATTTGAATCTGATTTATCTAGTGATTTCAAAGCAAGATCCATCTTGACACAGTCCTTTGTCATGCTTCAGCAGGAAACTTTGAAGTAGGTAGAAAGTAAGGGAATTCTGTACATAAAGAACTCGGGAGGCAGTTGGACAGACATATTTCCCCGGGACTGAGAGACAAAATAGTTTTTATATTTTTCAAGGTCTGTACTCTTGATAGGCTAAAAACAAGTCTACCAGAAGAGATACAGAATTTCTGCAGAAGTTGCATTAATGCCCTGAGGAGATAACATTCTTTAGTTTTGTGCCTGCTTTGTACTTCTGATGTATCTAGAATCAGGAAACATCTGTGCACCACACTGCAGTGCCATATAGCTCAGATACCATAAGTAAACCCAGCTCAGGTGTCTGTATTTGGCTGTGTGACCCTTAAGTTATCTCTGTCATCCAGGGTTTTACTATGGGAGATCATTGGAGAGTTGTCCCTGATGTCATTTTCACAGTCAATGCAATTCACAACACAGAACCCATTGCCCATCTCCAGACCAAGGGCAGAAGTTTCACTGGTGACACCAGCTCAGCCAGACCACAAGAGTTACAGGAAAAAGAACGAGATGTAGATGAACAGCTAGATAACGAGAGCTTTTCCTTCACCATTTCATTGTTCAGATCCAGTTTTGACAACTGACAGCAGACTAGTTTCTCTCAAACTCCTACCAGAGAGGACATCTCAGGAAAGATCAAAGAACTGCACCTACTGAGAAATACTATCCTTGTCTACATTGGCTATTCCTTTAAGTTTGGTCTAAAGCTTTTTCAAAGGCTCTCCATCTGACAGCTGCTGCCTCTTATTTATCTCTTCCTTCTTCCCCTCAACTGACCAAATAGTGAGTTTCATTGGGATTCCATCAGCACCAAAAATTAATAAAGTGAAATTACTTTGAGAGATAAGACCCCTGTAATTTCCAGCCCCCTTTTTTTTTTTATATATGACTTTAGCCTAGAGCTAAGGTCTTGCATGAACCAAAAGAAAAACAAAACAAAAGGCCCCACAAAACCCAAAGTCCCTAGACAAATAAGAGGAATTCAGAGCATAGCAATGAACTCTACAGCACTCCCTAGAAAAGCAGCCTAGGAAGAATATTATTGCCAGAAAAGCAATCATCTTCACTACTGGTGCACAGTGAGGAAAAGAAAGCCCTAGGCTGAAATTGGTATTAAGCTTATTTTATTAATTTCTGTTATTAAATCAGAAAAACCGTGAAATACTTAAAAGGCCAAACTGGACAGCTAAGACCAATTATTCAGGAAAACATACTATGGGAGAGGAGGCTACTCCTTAATATTAGCAAGGAACATGGAGAACTGCCCAACTTTGATTTCACTGGGGATATGGAAGTATTGTTGGTATTTTAACATTTTCAGTATTAATGGCTAATGGACATCTCTAAACAGAAAGCAATTAAGATTTTAAGGGCCCACAAAAATGTTTTGTTAGCTTCTATAATAAACATCAGAGTACCTGGATGTTAGACCCAAGACTCAAATAAATATATAATGATTTCATTTACTATAAGAAAGGGTGAATTGTGTCTGCTAATAGAGCATTAAGAGCAGTAAAGCATGAAGTCCATCACTATGTTATGCTTGGAACTAGGTAATGGCATATTTTAACATCAAGTGTCCTTACAAGAGGTTAATGAAGTCAAGTTGTGTTTTTCAAAATAATTGTCAAGTTAATCTTTAGCAGTCTGACACTGGTGACATTGGAATGCAAGAATAAGGGGTCACATAACATTAAATAGCTGACTAAGGCATATTAGTTGTAGCATAAAATGTGTAAACAATGCATAAAATCTACAAACACTTCTGTGTATGCTTTAAAGGTGACACTGGCATGCCTAATAGTTTATAGGGAAGTCAAGCTACTTTTCTAAGATCTCTGTAACCAGTTTATCCTTCCTGATTCCACCAAGCACAGGAGATTTTAAGACAGTTAAGGGTGTTATCCTTCAGAAGATGACCCAGAATACGTGCATGATTTTAGTATAAACTTAAATCCTGTGGCTTTTCTTGTGTAAACTACAAGATTTCTAATAATAACTGCAATTGATGTCTTGTGGCTTTTTAGAAGGACAAGCCTATATAAAAAAACCCAGATATTAAATTGTGATGTCTTCACCTTTATGTAACAGGTAACAGCTTGATAGATGGGGCTGAAAACAGGGAGTCTGACTTCCTTATCAGCTGCAGTATTTTCAGAATGTGCCAACCCAAACCATTCTATGTCCTCCAATAGTCACAGACCTGCCCATAGTATTTTTGCCTTGGTGGCCACTTATTTTTTACTGTTCTAAATGAGAGAGATTTTAAAGCTTTATTGGTACTCAACAAAAAGGAGATCATTCTTCTGTCCCAAATAACGGTGAGAAGTGAATGGAAGTTTACTGAAAAATACCATCTTGGAGAAGTTCTGAATTGGTCTCTTGAGGTTTCTGAAGCTGAGATGCTTCAGATATCCTCTAAACTAAGGGATAAGTGCCAGATGTAAAGTTTGAGTTTCCTCATTTTTGTATTTTTCTCTAGTAAGGAGTGCCCCTATCTTTGTAATCCAGAATTTAATTCTTTACTTTGCCAGCATAAATTGGTTTTCTTCATGCATTGTGCCTGGTATGAAGACTGATACCAGCACAACATATCCTGCTCTCTAGAAGCAGCTATTCCATACAAAGAGGTCCTGTTAGCAGAGCTAAATGCTGGGATACGAACGAAAATCTGTTCCTGAAGAGGCAGTGGGTGAAGCGACACCATTCCTGTTAGAAGCCTCACATCATCATGAGATCTTTACTGAAAAGAGACTTTGTTGTCACTCTTTTATGGGTCTGTCTCCATTTTCCCCTCTGTCCCATCTTTCATCCATCATGTATCACAATTCTTGACACTTTGAGTTTATTCCATCAGGCATGTATTTACCCCCTTGCCTATGGACATGCACATGCATTCAACAGCTTAAAGAGCTTCAAAGCCCTTACCTTGCAAGGAACCCCAGGTCCTGCTGCTGTGTAGATCAATAGCCAAGTTCGAACAGGCAGTCAGGGTGACAGTCTCCATCCTTCAGTGATCTACGAAGAAAAAATGACCTTTGCTGTAAAACTCATTCATTCTCTCCCCCTTAAATGGCTTTAGCCAGAGGCAACTCTAAGTGCATTGTAAGGTTTTGACCTTAAAATAAGACTCACACTACTGTGATGCCAATCCACTCACGAGCTCACGCAGCAACTGAAAAAGTTCTAGCTCATGATGTAGTTACAAAGAGATGCTGACTAAAACCAGCATAATTCCTAACACAAACATTTCTTCTTTATTGTGCTCCCAGCAGTGGTATCTGTGTCCAGCAGAGAAGCTGTCAGAGCATTTGACAGCTGGATCTCTGAGTAAGCATAGTTCACACTTCTGTCCAGTACTGCATTTCAGTATGATCACATTGTATAAACTCTGCTGAGATCAACACTGTAAACCCCCCAAAACAAAACTGAGCCAATCACACTAAAAGCCGCATCTCATTTCTTATATACCTATCAATGAAAGCCACACAGTTGCAGGTACCTATGCGCCAAGGCAGTAGATACACACTGAAGATGCGCAGGGATTCTAGAGTCATTGGCACCAGTGAGGAGATCCAGTTGCTCTTGGTGTTGTGTTAACACAAGCTAACCTTGAAGAACATCTGATACTTACAATAAAGAGATTAGTCAGGGAAACTTTTAAACAACCAAGCATCAAAACACAGTTAAATCTCACTAATTCTCATTTGTGTCTAGGAAACTGGATTTTGTTAATTGGCAAACAACTGAGTTGCAGTGGGAGCCTGTACTTTATCGTGTAGTAATAAATTATTTTTAAAAGGTCATATTACATCTTCCTATATCATCAGCAGTCACAGCTACAAGAACATTAATAAAAGATGAGTTTGTGTTTATATGTGTATATATATATATCTATGTGTATTGATATACATACTAACATATATAAATTTCTTTAAAACTGTGCTCTTATCTGAGAAAAGCTCCACTTTGAAGCCTCAGGAGTAGAAGAAGAAGAGCTTTTTGCACAGAATAGAAGATAATAGGAGTTGTCTGTGGTAGTGTCATTCAGAGTCCAGAAGAGACACTTGACAAACCCAAATAGGTAAACATCAGTAAAGACAGAGTAAAGCAGGGCATTGTTGTTGCTTGGGGAAAGAGTGGCTTTCAGCACTAATTGTCACTAACTTCTAGCCTTAAGTCTCTGCAAGGAAGGACCAGCTCCCAACTATTTCACTTTTAAGTGTTGGTATACATTTTTCCCTGAGGTTCTTGCCCTTCTCTCATGCCTGCCACCATGAATCAGAATTTACTCCACTCAAGCAAAACCAAGGAGAAGAAACTCAGGCCATCCATTTGTTTTTCACGAAGAACGTTTGCAGTCATTCTTTACCCTTTTATGATGACAAAGCAATCTCAGAATTTAACTTCATCGGCTCCTTCACGTTCTTCAAATAGTGACATTTGACACAATTACAATAAGGAAGTTTAAAAAATAATAACGGCAGCAATAACAACCACATTCTGAGCTGGCCTCTCCTGATTAGGAAAATGTCTTCTAGCTGTCAACATCTAAGAATATAACGTAGACTTAACACTTCTCTTAACTGGAAACCTCAAAAGGCCACAGTCTCACAGACACTTCTGGTGGTGAAGGGCTGAGCAGGCTGCAGGCAGAACTAGCACCAGTACTCGAGTGCAACAAAATAACAAAAATAATAAATAGCAATGTTGTGCATCAAGAATATGACTCTGCTGAATGAGTTGCAGTCTGGATCCTAAGGCTGTTTTGAAGCACACATGGTTTTGTAGAAACAACAGTGTTATTAAGTTCTGGTTTTAATTTTATTTTAAATATTATTGATATGTTTTATCTCACAATGATCAAATATTACTGTGATAAAGCTCTAATACTAGTTGAATGAAATAAATAGATCATATTAATTGATGACCTTTGCATAACCACTTGCTTTATATTTATGTTGCTGGTACTACTGTACCAATACTTTATTTAAAATAAAGAATAAAACTTCTCAGCAACAATGTTTTCATGTAATAATAATAAAAAAAAAAGAGAGTAAAAGATTGAAAGGTGATATCTTTGATCAGATTGTCAGCAATTTGACATGAATATATTCTTAACTATAATATAAAAAAACCTTTATCTCACACACACACCAAAACATCTTACTAGAAACATGTCTATTTTCAACAGCCTCTGTCAACGTCTGACATCTCACCTTTTACATACAATGAGGACGAGGAAGGTAAAAAAAAAAATAAAAGGAAGAAAAAAGAAGAAAAGCAGGAGATACATTTAGTGTTCTCTTTACCAAAATAAAGCTTAGCTTATTTGTAGCTTTTGGCTTTCAGCCTTTCCTGCTAAGCTGATTGAGTTCTTTAGGAAATGATGTATGAGGGGAGGTTTCCAGCCAGATCTGTTGAGGAACTGGAGATTCCCAGGAGGATGATGATAAGCTGAAATGATGGGTATGATAGGAGGCATTGCAGATATAGATAGGAAGAACAAACTAGTTTCAGCTAAACACATCCAAAATGCACAAGCCTGAAAGCACATTTAGACACTATCAGCCTGGAAAGATGCCTGCTTCAGCAGAAATGACTCGTCGGGGACAAGCAGCCACTTTAGGACTTTTTAATCAGCGTTTCCCAACTGCTGCACTGTAGGCATTCCTCCTGGCAGCATTATTCAGTTCGATGCCCATATGCTCAATCGTAATGGTTGTCTCTTTGACGTATTACTTCTTACTTTTATAAGGCAGCAGCCTTCCAGCTGCATGACATACGTAGCCCACAGGCATATACTTCTAACATATGATGCATCTTGTCCTTTACACAGTTCTTATTAAGCTGACACAAAATAAGGAGAATGGCCCTTCTCAGTCCTCTAAGCAGTTGGTACATCCGGGAACAAGAATAGAAAAGGTCCCAGTGTTGCAAGCCTGGCCTGAAGGATTAGGAACAGTAAGGATTAAACACTGCCATGTGTCTAACCACACTCTTGCACTGAGTGTTCTTGCCTTGACTTTTCCTTGTAAATTACCTTTCTTTTAACCAACTTTTTCCTTTCAAATAGAGAAGTGCTGCAGAGTACTCTTGTAAAACTCATTCTGAATAACTACCCAATGACACTAAATTAGATCACATCACTGTTGAGCCCATGAAACCTACAAGAAGACAAAGTACAGACATAAGATTTGCATGAGCTATTTCTGATTTATACCCATTTAAGTAACGATTGAATCAGAGCAGCGTTTTTACCACAGGCCAAGATCAAAGACTTGAGTGTTTTACCTGGCTGGCTAAAGAAATTTTATCATTCCCTTGGTCATTCATAGTCAGTTTTGAATTTGCAGTTCAGCTGGGAGATTTGCATTCTGCTGGATACCAGAAATAAGCATTTGGTTGTGCAGAAACTCTTTGTTACTTCTTCAATAGGTTTTGTAGAAAGCTCCCGATCCCACCAGCTAGTATTTACTGCATTCTTAGCCTCAGGTTAAGCAACTTTAAAGATTTCTAGTTTACAGAAATGAAAAATGGAAGTAGTTAGATAGTCAATCCTAGCTTTTTCTCACTGATATATACACCACGTACAGATGTACCCACACAACAGAATCTGCTGTATTCAAAACACAGATGACCCAGGGAGTCATAATCATATACTGAAAGACTTAAAATAGAACTACCCTTTCCTGAATCAGTAGGTCATGAAGCATTACTTTGTGTTGATCATTGAGACCTGAGCAATCTGACTTTCATGCTACAATGTGTTCCAGAACACTTCGGGCTCATGGAGTTGGTGATGCACAGTCTGCACATGGAAGGAAGCAATATATGGAAGTGGAAATTAGGGATGACAGACTGCTCTAAGACAGCTTTCCAAGAATATAAGAATCCCTCACTTATCTCTCCAACTGTCTTCCTCACAAAAGGTGTATGCTGTGGTTTTCCATTTCATTATAAGCTGCAGTTTCATTCCTGATAGAGCAGTGTGCACAGGCTCAGCATTACTTACAAGAGTCAGTCTTGGCAAAAGGGGAGAAAAAAAAGAGGCTTTCAATAACTGGCATTTTTTTTTATCAACTTCAGAAGTGCTGGGAACAAAAGAACCATCCTGGCTATACAACTGTAAAACTGGAAAGCAGTTTATGAAAGTCTGCTCTCATCAGGAGCTCAGAATCTCTTCTTGAAGGGCTGAAGTCCTTTAACTTCTGGTGACAAGCAGCTCTTTTTTCCAATGTCTCTCTGCTTCCTATTTGAACCTGGGATTAATGCCAAGCTGTTCCTGAAGCTTTCAGACCTACAGACCATTTGTCGAACCTCTAAACCAGAGCATGACCACAGTGCAGCAAAGCAAGGTAAATTTAGCTCATGCTGGGTTCCACGGCTGGGTCCCTCTGTGATATCCAGTGCACTTCATTTAAAACTAGCTCAGGAACCTCTGTACTCCACTGCAACACAGGCACACTCCCCGGACTTTGTACCAACGACACAATGCCTCTTTAAAAGGGAGTCTTGTGCTGTTGATGAAAATCATAAAGCAGGAAGCGTGGAAGCCCTTTGTGTTCCCTGCAGCCTAAGACTTTTGTGAATTAATCTTTCATAGTAGCTGAAGCAGGGAAAGGGGTCTTATGGTGGTGGTGTGTTTGGAAGACTGGACATGTGCCAGGGCACGGCGAAGGTGGGGAGCAGCGGGAGCTCCCCCGGGGCTGGCAGGGCAGCATCTCCCTGGGGATGGGGATGGGGCAGGGGCAAGGCCAGGGGATACCCCCACGGGCTGAGGCCCGGCCAGGATGTCAGCATGCAAATGGGGCCGGGCCTGGCAGTGCAGGGCTGGAGATCAGACATCAGCTTCCTATGGCAGCACCGGGGCAGAGACTGACGTGAGGTCCTGAGCCATGGGTAGGGGTGAGGGGAAGCCCCAGGGGAGTTTGGGCAGGGACAGTGAGGGCCCACGTTAGTGCCCCATGGCCTTGACAGCGTGGAAGTAACACTG